TGTCCCACTGTCCCCACAGATGTCCCCCTATGACAGCCTCCTACTGTGCCGGCCCGTGTCATCCCCGCTGCCGCTCAGGTAGGGGCGGTTTTGGGATCCTGGAGGGGCACACACGGGTGTGGGGGGGCCATGGGGCAGCCTGGTGACATCCCCCCTCAGTGGGGCCAGTTTCCTGACGCTGCTACAGAACCTGGGCCCCGACAACGCCGTGGCCCTGCTGGTGGCCGTGCTCACCGAGCAGAAGCTGCTTATCCACTCGCTGCGCCCCGACGTGCTGACCAGCGTGGGAGAGGCCCTGGTGGCGGTGAGTGACCACGGGGGACACCCCCTGGGGCTGGGGGCTGCATACTGGGGGGCTAGGGGGCTGCAGTGCTGGGAATCCCCCATTCTGTGTGTCTGGGGACCCCCAATCCTGTGGGGCTGGGGACCCACAGCCCTGGTGATCCCAATCCCATGGCACTGGGGACCCTGGTCCCACAGTTCTGGGGATCCTGGTCCCGAAGCACTGGGGACGCACAGCACTGGGATTCTGGTCCCACAGCACTGGAGACCCCAGTGTTGCTGGGGATCCTGGTCCTACAGCTCTGGGGATCCTGGCCTCGAAGCACTGGGGTCCCACAGCACTGGGATTCTGGTTCCACAGCACTGGGATCCTGGTCCCACAGCTCTGGAGACCCCAGTGGTGCTGGGGATCCTCATCCTACAGCTCTGGGGCCCCCCCGTGCGCATGCCGGGGGCCCCGCGGCACTGACCACCCTCGTCCTGTCCCCAGATGATCTTCCCCCTGCGCTGGCAGTGCCCCTACATCCCGCTGTGCCCGCTGGCGCTGGCTGACGTGCTGTGTGCCCCCGTGCCCTTCATTGTAGGCATCCACTCCAGCTACTTCGACCTCTACGAGCCCCCCCGTGACGTCATCTTCGTCGACCTGGACACCAACACCATCTTCCAGTGAGTGTCCCGTGCTGATCCCGGGCCGGGGGGCGGGTGGGCAGTGCCCGGGGGGGGGTCTGGGGGCAGTGCCTGCCCTGCCCTCCCTGCCCTGTGCCCCCTAGGAGCGAGGAGCGGAAGCTGCTGCCACCCCGTGCGCTGCCCCGCCGGCCCTGCAAGGTGCTGCTGGCCACCCTGCACAGCCTGGCCCAGCAGCTAGACGAGCGTGAGTGGGGAGCCTGGGGGGTCCTGAGGGGGTCTGAGGGGTTAGGGTTAGGGCTGGGGTCCTCCCATAAGGACGAGGGCAATTGGTTTGGAGGTATCTTAGTTCCTCAAAGAATGATTCATTGGTGTCGTTTTCCTGGCTGGGTGGTCCGTAGGAGACCCCCCCGGTGATGTTTGTCCCTAAATCCTTACCCAGAAGGTCCAAACTGCACCATGTCCAACTGGGACCATCCAAACCAGGAGGTTCCCAACCATTCCATGGCCAACTGGAACCGCTCAAACCTAGAGGTTTCTGACCATGCCATGGCCAACTGGTACCACCCAAACCCTGAGATTCCCAGCAGTGCTATGGCCAACGGGAGCCAGCCAACCCGTGTCCCCCAGCCCGGTTCTGGTCCTTGTGGGTGTCCCCAGTGCTGACCCTGTCCCCCTTGTCTCCGCAGTGCTGAGCGCCCCGGACGAGGCGCCCCCAGAGCTGGTGCTGAGCGCGGCGGAGGGTGTGGGGGCACGGCGGGCGCAGCTGGAGCTGGAGGCAAGGGCGGCGTTCCTGCGCTTCATGGCCTGTGCCCTGCGCGGGTACCGCTCCTTCCTGCGCCCCATCGCCCCCGCACCCGCACCCGCCGAGCGCGACGCCGGCAGCCTCTTCGCCCTGCAGGGTCAGTGCGGGCACGGGCTGGCCTGGGCTGGGCTGAGAGGGGGGTCATGTGGTGACTATCCCATCCCCATCCAATCCTGTCCCATCCCATCCACTTCCATCTTGTCTCATCCCCTCCCATCCCATCACATCGCATCCCACCCCATCCCCTCTCATCCCATCCCATCCCATCCCGTCCACTTCCATCTTGTCTCATCATCTCCCATCCCATCCCGTCCCGTCCCATCCCGTCCCATCCCGTCCCACTCCATCCCACCCATCCACGCCTCCGGTGCTGTGTACCTACAGGGTTCCTGCGCTCCCGGGACCGGCAGTACCAGCGGTTCTATGGGCAGCTGCTGAAGACGCAGCTCTTCACCCAATTCATCGAGGACTGTTCCTTCGCCAGCGACCGTGAGCCCTGTCTCGAGTTCTTTGACACCTGCGTCGACAAGGTGTGACCCCTCTGTCCCCTCTGTCCCCTCTGTGTCCCCTCTGTGTCCCACCACTCCTGCCTCGAGTTCTTTGACAACTGCGTCAACAACGTGTGTCCCGCTGCCCCCCCCATGTCCCCAGTGACCCCTGTGCCCCGCCAGGTGCAGGACAAGGTGTGTCCCACTGCCCTCCCATGTCCCCAGTGACTCCTGTGCCTCCCCAGGTGCAGGCAGACCTGGAGAAGCCGGAGGACACCCCCCTGATGGAGCTGGATGACCCCCGGGGTGGGGAGCACACGGTGTTCATCACGCCCCCAGAGCAGCCGGCGGGGCCAGATGGGGCCGAGCCCCCGGCACGGTACAGGTGAGACCCTCCTTCCCCAGACCCCTGCCCACCTGCCAGCCCCCAAACACTCCTCACCTGTGCCCCCCAGGTACGACGGGTTCCCCACCCTGTGCCCGGAGCTGCTGGAGCCTCCCCGGGACCCACTGGTGGCTCAACTGTGCCAGGCCCGGAGCAGCGCCCCGAGCAGCCCCGCCCCTCGCAGGACCAAACAGGTGGGTGGCACACGTGGGCAGGAGGGTGTGTGAGACGGGACACCTGAACAGGTATGTCTGTGTGAGATGGGACAGGGGCAGGTGTTCACCTGGGATGACAGCTAGACAGGTGTCCCCTTGAGCTGTGACACCTGTCCAGGTGCCCCCATGAACTCTGACACCTGGACAGGTGCCCACCATGGACAGGTGTCCCTGTGAGCTGTGATCGTTGCCCAGGTGCCCCCCTGGATGTCCCACCTCCCCTGAGTCCTGTCCCCATCCCCATGAGCTGTGATCCCTGTCCAAGTGCCCCCATGAACTCTTGACACCTGTCCAGGTGCCCCCCTGGATGTCCCAGAGTCCCCTGACCCTTGTCCCTGTCGCTGTGAGCCGTACCCCCTCTCCAGGTGCCCCTCTGACTCTTGTCCCCTGTTCTCTTGAGCTGTGACACCTGGACAGGTGCCCCTGTGGGCTGTCACTCCTGGGCAGGTCCCCACCTGGGACAACACCTGGACAGGTGTCCCCCTGGGACAGGTGTCCCTGTGATCCACCACACCTGGACAGGTGTCCCCGCAATCCGTGCCCCCTTTCTGGATGCCCCCCCTGTAGTTCCCGACCCCCAGTCACCCTGACGCCGTGTCCCCGTGCCCAGGAGATGAAAGTGGCGCAGCGGGTGGCTCAAAAGTCGTCGGCGGTGCCGGAGCTGTGGGCGCGGTGCCTGCTGGGCCACTGCTATGGCCTCTGGTTCCTGTACCTGCCCACCCACGTGCGTGCCGCCCCCGCCAAGCTCGGCGCCCTCCAGCTCGCCTACGACGTCCTGCGCCAGATGGAGCAGCACAAGGTGGTGCTGCCCGACGAGGTGGGTCCTGCCAGGGCCAAATCTGCACTGGGATTGTTGGGAAGGGGCTGTCCTGGGGAGGTGGGGGAGTGCCCAACCCTGGGGGTGTCCAGGGAAGGACTGGATGTGGCACTCAATGCTCTGGGCTGGGGGACAAGGTGGGGATGGGTGTCCAAAGGAGGGACACGAGGATGGGGAATGGTCTGGAGAGGCCACACAGGGAGCAACTGAGGCTTGTTCAGCTGGAGAAGAGGAGACTGGAGGGAGACCTCAGGGGGCTGCAGCTCCTCCTGAGGGGCAGCTCCGATCTCTGCTCCGTGTAAGCCGGGACAGGAGCTGGGGGACTGTGCCAGGAGCTGTGCCAGGGGGAGGGTCAGGAGCTGGGGAAGGGTCTGGAGAACTCCTGAGGGAGTTGGGGGGGCTCATCCTGGAGAAAAGGAGGCTCAGGGGGGACCTTCTGGCTCTCTGCAACTCCCTGACAGGAGGGGGGAGCTGGGAAGGGGTCGGGCTCTGCTCCCAGGGAACAAGGGACAGGAAGAGGGAAAACGGCCTCAAGCTGTGCCAGAGGAGGGTCAGGTTGGCCACGAGGAGGAATTTCTTGCTGGATAGGGTGGTGAGGCCTTGGAAGGGGCTACTCAGGGAGGTGGGGAAGTCCCCACCCCTGGAGATGTCCAAGGGAGGACTGGCCGGGGCACTGAGTGCTCTGGGCTGGGGCCAAGGTGGGGATGGGGCACAGGCTGGACTCGATCCAGGTGGGTCTTTCCCACCCTCCAGTGTGGGGGTCCCACCTCTGTCCCGTGGCTGGGGGTCCCTCCCTGCCCGGGGGGGTCCCGTGCTGACCCGTTTTCCTCTCCCCCAGGTGTGTTACCGCATCCTGATGCAGCTGTGTGGGCAGTACGGGGAGCCCGTGCTGTCCGTGCGCGTCCTGCTCGAGATGAAACGTGCTGGCATCGTCCCCAACACCGTCACCTATGGCTACTACAACAAGGT